TTTCTCTCTCTTATAAATATTATAATTCTACATGTGCAACTTATTTTGCTTCGAACTTGCCTCTGCCCAATATTGCATTTATCATTTACATTTTTTATTCCACAAACTATTTTATAGCTCAACATTCTTTTTAAGATTTTACAGAGAACTTTTTACATAAGATTTATATTATACTTTTCGTGCAAAAATTATTTTACCAAATTTTGCTCAGAAAAATTAATTATGCACTCCAAGTATTGGAATGCAAATATGCAATTGTGTCTCTCTCATCTCCCTTTCTCTCTCTTATAAATATTATAATTCTACATGTGCAACTTATTTTGCTTCGAACTTGCCTCTGCCCAATATTGCATTTATCATGTAGATTTTTTATTCCACAAACTATTTTATCCCTTCGTCGTATAATAACATACGCGTTTAGCGTCAATAAGGATGTGTGTACGAATATATATACACATATTTTCGTGCAATCGCGACCTTCGAGACGTGGTCCAAATGTCCCTCGAAAATTTCCCAAGACATCTGTACGGTGAACCTCGTGCACTTGCATAGAATGGAAATTGCCAGGATTGGATAAGTTAATGATTTTTTAAAACTAAGTAAGTACACGGTTAAAGTTAAGTTAACTGAAGTTAAAATCAATGGTTAATTTTTAAAAATATTTTTTATATTAAATTAGAATTTGGTTTGTTAATTCTTTTAAAGTGTATAATAACAAATAACGAAGAAATTTTGATTTTTATATAGAAATATATTATATATTAATATTATTATATAAGAAATATATTATATATTAATATTTTTTAGTAATTACAATTGATGACAAATGAACATAAAAATTAATAATATTTCAATTTAAAAATAATACGTTTATAACTCAGAAAAAAACAATAATGGTATTTAGAGATAAAAAAATGTAACTTAGGAAAAAGTTAAAAATTAATACATTTTAAATTAACCAAGCTGAGTTAAAAGTTATTAACTTTTCAACTTTTTTTTAACTTTTAACTAATTAACTAGTTATTACTCAATCCTGATGAATATATGTACACATATTTTCGTACAATCGCGACCTTCGATCGTTCCCGTGTCGTATAGATACGTGGTGCAAATGTTCCCCTAAAATTTCCCAAGATTTCTGTACGATGAATCTCGTTCACTTGCATAGAATGGAAATTGCATACTGCCAACTTTTACCATCGTTGCATTCTTATCACAAGATGAACGATTCCTGTCTTGGTGTCTTCGACAAGATAGTCTCGCTTAGCATAAAAGCCTTGGGAATATTCGAGTTATTCTGGTTATTTATACTACGTATGATAAGGCTTTTTTACATAGAAACCAGCTGAATGCACTGAAAAAAAATTTATTGAATTCGAATAAATATTTATTTCAATACTGCTTAATAGATCATTTTGAAATTAAGAATATTGATTTGACGTGAAAAATTTTATTTCATATAAGAACATTTTTTTAAAAACAGATAAATATTTCTGCAAAATAATTGCATAATAATTTTTTACTCTATATATGCATTTATAGAGTACAATTATTTTTTTTACACTTATTCTGATATTATACACTCGAATGACTCTTTTTGTGCTTATGCACTTGCCTCTGCCCAATATTGCATTTATCATTTACATTTTTTATTCCACAAACTATTTTATAGCTCAATATTCTTTTTAAGATTTTACAGAGAACTTTTTACATAAGATTTATATTATACTTTTTCGTGCAAAAATTATTTTACCAAATTTTGCTCAGAAAAATTAATTACGCATTTCAAGTGTTCGAATGCAAATATGCAATTGTGTCTCTCTCATCTCCTCTTTCTCTCTCTTATAAATATTATAATTCTACATGTGCAACTTATTTTGCTTCGAACTTGCCTCTGCTCAATATTGCATTTATCATTTACATTTTTTATTCCACAAACTATTTTATAGCTCAACATTCTTTTTAAGATTTTACAGAGAACTTTTTACATAAGATTTATATTATACTTTTTCGTGCAAAAATTATTTTACCAAATTTTGCTCAGAAAAATTAATTATGCACTCCAAGTATTCGAATGCAAATATACAATTGTGTCTCTCTCATTTCCCTTTCTCTCTCTTATCTACAAATATTATAATTCTACATGTGTTAATCGTATAGGACGAGCGAGAGAAACCGCGATCTGAGAGCGGGACGGGTTAAATATAATCCGAGAAACAGAGAAACACGAACACACACACGCACACATACATACATACATAAGTGCGTAATCGGCCGCCTAGAGATAGAGAGAAATGCATATACATACATAGTTGCCTTAAAACTATGCACTTTGCGTTCTCTGAGCTACCGCGTTCGTTTTTGGGTTACGCCGGTGCACGTACGCTGCTTGTCTCTTTCTCTCTCTCTCTCTTTCTCCCTCCTTTCCCATCCTGCGTACTTGGCGCGTTTCCGCACTCGTTCCCGCAAAGCACAACGAGCGGTCCGCAGTTGACGTCGGTGCAGCGCTACGTGCACTTACGCGCGTTTTTAAGCGCCTCTTTCTTTCCCGTGGGTGTCCTAGTGTGTATGTGCATCTCTATGCCCTAGTGTTTCTCTATTCTTTACTATTGTTAAAGTGTCGAAAAGACGCGGGAGATCCGCGATGCGCGGAATCGAGAGGAGTTTAGGGAATCTGCTGGGAGAATAGATGAAATTTGTGTATTCTTTCTTCGCGATTTTTCCGTGATTTTGCAAAACCTAGCTTGAAGTAAAAATATCTATTATTTATTTTTCTCTTCATTTATTTATCCTGAAAATCTGATCATGAAATCATGGGACAATATTGGAAGAATATTTTATTAGAGTTTCTCTGATTAATATTTACAGCGCAATATAAAATATTAATATCCGCGATAAAGATATAAAATATATGTTCGATTAATTTTATTATGTGCATATTAATATTTTTTATTGTGGTGGATTTAATCAGGGGAACTCTTACCATATTGTCCCACAATTAGCATGATTTTCAGGGTAAACTTTAAGAGAAAATTCTCTGTGTAACGTTGATGTATCATATTATTTTGACATTAAATAGTTTCGATCTCTCTCTTTCTCTCTTTCGAGGACACTAAATTCTAACGACAAACCTTGACATTTCATTGGTTGCGAAGGTGAAACTGATCGAAGTCGTGATCGCTCTATATAGGAAACGCGAGAAGGTTGAATTTCGAAGATTGTTTAGGAGATTTGATCGAAATTTTTCTCTCATCATGCGTTATAATTTTATATTTTTTATTTTCAATGCTATATTTTTTATTTTATTTCTGTACACATATTTTCTCTATAAAAATGCTTTTTATTGTATATAAAAAATAGTACCGCATCTAATTATTTGTAGGTATCTGTTTACCAGGCAGTAGAGAGAGCTTGGTTAAAGTCACGCGGCTATTTAGAGATTAAAAAGACAAACTCTTCGCGAGGAATTAGCGTTGGTCCGCAGAGTTTCTATTTTCGTGACAACCGCGTTGCTTATTCGAGCAACAGCGAGAATGCCGGCGTGGCCTCGATTTTTACACCTTTGTAAAGTAGCGGAATGCAAAAGGTGCAGGAATTTTTAAACGAGACATAAATTTCAATTTCTTGTACTTTTTACATATATGTCATATCATTATACTAATATTTTCCCAAGATATGTCAATCAAGAATAAGGAATTCAAAGAGAGATGATTGTCGTTTTCTAATGTCCACAGAATTCTTTTATATAGGATTTACAAGAAGTTGATTTAATAATTTTTATTCTTTTTATTTTGATTTTTCAATAAATTATATGTAGGATTTTTTAATAAGATATTTCAATAATTATCATGGCATTTTTCTTTTTATTTTATTTTTATATATTTAATAATCTATAAATTCCAGCGTCGATATAGTGGTATTATAGTGGTTGATTTAATAATTTTTATTCTTTTTATTTTTTGATTTTTCAATAAATTATATGTAGGATTTTTAATAGGATATTTCAATAATTATCATGGCATTTTTCTTTGTTTATATAATTTTATATATAATAATCTATAAATTCCAGCGTCGATATAGTGGTATTTTGATCGAAAAATTATGCAATACCTTATTAACCAGCGAAGTATATTTCTGGACGATCGCTCTTCGAGGCGATATAATAATATCGCGTTGTAGAAAGAAGGAGAGAGGATCTCTGGGTTAATTCGAGATCGGCGATTCTTCGGGATAAAACGTGCCGTCGTAAAAACAAGCTCGAATACGTCGGCGCGCGATTGCGCAATAGAAACACTGGGTACACACGGTATATAACATACCTAATTGTTCCCCGCGATTGTATAACGCGAACTTCCAGGCCGAAGTCGACAGTCGTCGCGTTGCTCCGATCCGGACGTGTAGGAGCAAGAGATTCCGGACGTCGATCAAGTAGCAAAAAATTAAAAAAAAAATGTAAATTTAAAATGTGAATTAAAATTTTTTGTTCATTTTTTAGCTATAGCTAAACGGAGAATTCTATAGCTAAAAAATATTAGCTGTCATAGCTAAACTTTAGACACGATAACTAAATTTCATGTGTAATACAGACAGTGTTGTGCTTAGATGATTTTAAAATTAGCTAGATAAAGATGAGATAAAAATATGTCAATTCATCTTACTAGATGCGATGAAGATGATTTTGTTTTAAATATGTCTAGGTAAAAGATAAAATTATGGCAATTCGACTAGATAATAATTTTTAAGAATGCTTATGTAAACGCAGTTATTAAAAAAAAATGTAAATTATTAAAGGGATACTACTTAAGTTCGACTATTTACGTATTTTTATGTGCTATAATTTTAAACCAAAATTATCTGAAAATTATTCTAAATAATTTAGTAAAAATAATACTTTTTTCATCTAAGATGCAGATATAGATAATACATATTTGTATATAAAAATAAGATGACGCCAAAATTTCATCTAGATGATGATCTATATAATTTTATTTAGATAACAGCAAACACGGAATACAGGTAAAATTTAACTAATTTTTTTTCCCGTGAATATCTAATAATACTATACAAACGCGACCTATCGATATCGCCCGTGTAAGTATATGCATACATAATTATCGCTCCATCTTTTTTACGTAGCGGAAAGGTCATCCTGTAGCGGGATCAGTGCAATATGTAGCTCGATTGCATAACGATTCGTTGCTATCACCCTTGGAATATTAAATTGATGATTGCTGATTAGCGCGAAATATATTCCTCGTGCGGGAAAAAATATATAGCAACCAAAGTTAAATTTTAAGTATTCCTGTAGTTAATTTAGCATGGTAACTAAATTTCAGATGTGATGTATTACCTAAAAAGTTATAATGGCTAATCATTTTTTCGTCCGGATTTTTTTAAAAGAGTCACCGGTAATTAACGATGGGATTAAATATCTTAAATTAGAATTTGTTCCTTTTGCATCAAACTCTCTTGATTACTTAAAAAAAAAACCTTCTTCAAGTATCTTAAAAAAATGAGCAAAAGCCAGAGTTCGAATACTACTTGTAAAAGATTCGACTCTTTACGATAGAAAATATTTATAAATATTATCTCGAACCTTGCAGACACTTAATCTAAAATTCAAATATATAATTGCTCTAGATTTGATTACTTCGCAAGGACAGTATATATGAAATATTATTTCTTATGAATAATACTCGCATTCTAGAAAATGAAACTTGATTATTAGACTCTCAGATTCAAATTTTTAAATACATATTAAACTCGATTCCATCTCTAATTGCAATATATGCATAAAAGAAAAAATATCCTTCCTTTCAGTCCACTCGTACCACCTTTTTACATATACAAATTGTTGAATTTGTATCCAACGACTACATAAATATTTATCGCTTTTCGATAAGGCGACTGGTATATTTTTTTTCTTTAAAAATAGACATTTGTTCATTTGACAATAGAGACGCGCATGCGACGCGACGTTTTGCGCATATAAAGGCATACTTTGCGGAATGCAATTGCGCGCGAAAGCGCGGCGAATCGAAACTCCGCGAATTCGCGTCGCGAGGCGGCGGCGGCCGCTTTTTGCTCGCTAAAACGCGAAACCGGCCGATCATCATCGAAGGCGACTCCGCGGTTCGAACGCGAACGCGCGTTATCCAGTGCGCGACGTGACGTCGGGGCTGGTCGTTGCGCGCGATGCGCAACGAGAGCGCGAGAAGAGAAGAAGAGATGGATGGACTTCGATGTGCTATCCTCAAAGTGGAAAATTGGAACGCGTAATTACATAATATATACCGGAGGAGATCGCTTCGTCGCGCTCGAACGAAACGCGTGTATATATATATATTATCAGTGTTTGCTGTGTTATCTAAATAAAATTATATGGATGATCGTCTAGAATTTCTAGATGAAATTTTCGCGTCATCTCATCTTTATAACCAGGGTTTGCTGTTATCTAAAGAAAATTGTATAGATGATCATCTAGATGAAACTTTTTGGTGTCATCTTATTTTTATATAGATACAAATATGTATTATCTATATCTGCATCTCAGATGAAAAAAATAGTATCTTTATTAAATTATTTAGAATAATTTTCAGATAATTTTGGTTTAGAATCATAGCACATAAAAATACTTAAATAGTAGAACTTAAGCAGTAAGCGATAGAAATTTATAAATAAAAATATGAATACATATATTTGAGCCGCCATATAATTTTATCTTGTATCTATTTAAAACAAAATCATCTTTATTTTATCTAAGATGAATTTACATTATTTTTATCTCATTTGTATCTAGCTAATTTTAAAATCATCTAAGCACAACACTGTTTACATCTACATCTCAGTTAAAAATTTGTTTTAATTTAACATAATATGGATACATTAAATCGAGACACGAATACTGTATTAATACTTTAACACAAAATAAATGCAAGACTTCACATAATTTAAAATCAATTTTGTGTAAAATTAACATAGTTTTAATGCAAAAATATGTTAATTTTATCATCTCCACTTATGTTATAAAATAAAAAATCATTTTTTTTCTGTGTAAAAGCTAAATCTTGTCACTAAAACAGAACATATTTGTTGTAAAATTTAAAAATGCACATTTTTCAGTCGTTTTAATAATTTAACATTAAAGTTCAGTTAACACAACAGCATGTTAAATTAACACACGAATATGTTAAATATTTAACACAATTTACAAAATTTGCAAAAATATGATTATACATATTTTTATATCCCTTTTATAATTGACATAAGCGGTTTAAAAAATAATATTATCTAAACGAACGCCTTATATAATTTTGCCTTGTATCTAAATATATTCAAAACAAAATCAACTCCACTTTACTCGAGAAGAAAAGATTAATTTACATATATATTTTCATCTCATATTTTTATCCAGCTAATTTTAAAATCCTCTAAGCACAACACTGATATACATATATACATATATATATGCGTGTCACGCGTGAATCCAAGCAGGAATTTCATCGTTCGCGACGCCGTTGCTTGCCAAGGCACGTGAGAGTCTACCAAAGTACACACATATAGGTACGCGTTAAGCCGATGACTCGTAAATAAGCGCGAATAAACGCGACGTGCATATTCGCGGTAAATTTACCCAACGTCACTCTCTCCTTATCGTCGTATCGTATATATATTGGTTCCGCCAATCACCTCCCTCTTCGGCACTATAACGTCATTGTCGTTATTGCGTGTGTTGCTCCTTTTCCGATTCGCGTCATAGTCAGTGTCTCCGGGTTGATTGTGGAACGAAGTTGACCGTCCAGGTGCTCCTCTCGTCGAGAATCTTTCAGAAATAAACGAGATTCGTATAGGTAATAAGGTATTTGTTCCGCGGAACTTCCCGAGGTCTGGCTGTGAAATTTGCTTGGGAATTTGCAAGAAATTCTCTCGTCAGATGACATTCTCGCTCGAGTGATCATGTGATCAAGTGATACGCCTAATTGCAGCGTCCTTGCCACGTGAGAGACCGTGGAACGTGCATAGTTGAACATTTTGTGTTCATTTAATATAATATAGATATGTTAAATAGAGACGCGAATACGGAATTAATATTTTAATATCAAATAAATGCAAAACTTGAAGTAATTTTAAATAAATTTTGTGTAAAATTAAAACATAGTTTTAATGCAAAAATATGTTAATTTTATCATCACCATTTATATTATAAAATAAAAAATCAACAGTTTTGTCTGTAAATTTTAACAGATAATTTTTCACCAATAAAACAGAACATATTTACTGTGTAAAATTAAAAATGCTATTTTTACATCTTTCATCAGTTGTTTTAATAATTTAACATTTAAGTTCAATTAACATAACAGCAATGTGTTAAATTACCACATAAATATGTTAAATATTTAACACACAAATTTGAACACCAATTTTCCTGTGTAGAATAAACGAGAATCTCGTAGGGAATTTTACTTCTTATATAAGCGAAATTTGCTAGGAATAAGGGATGAACATTTATTGTTGGACGATAAACGAGAGTGAAAATGGAAGAAGTGCAGGGAGGAAATAAAATTGTGCGCGATGTCAAAGTTTGACAAGTGACGAGGAAAGATACGGAAGGTGTCGTCTAAAAGAATAGTCCATCATGCATCACCTGAAGAGAAGTGACGGCGGATTTTAATCACCATTGTCACCTCGTCTAAGAAGAAAATCAGGAAATCAAAAGTCTTTAAGTAGAATAGCAAACATGGATATAAATAAGGACACGCGGTTTCGAGACACGTTTTGCTACACCGTTGTTCGTCGCGATTCGACTTAATGGCGTTTCTCGCAATGGGATCCAGCTAAGAAGGAGATAACCAGAAGAAAGAACAGAGAGAAAGAGAAGAAGCGAAGAAGAGACCCTCGAGAAGAGTCGAGTCGAAGGAGAGGATTCTCTTACCTTTCTATTTACACGCGTCGACGATGAACGAGGTGAGGCACGTTTTGACAGCCCTGAGGTCTCCCTCCAAGAATTTGACCTTGAGCAATGGCACTCCTGGCGTCGCGACGACGACGTGGTACGACGTCCCGGCGCCGATTATCGTGCACTGTCGCGAGTTCCACGAAGAAGCCAGTCACGACGTCGTCGAGAACGGAGAAGAGCCGGAAGTCGGATCCGTAGTCAAGGACACGGAGTCCTTGGAAAAGGACACTCGAGCGAAAGTGACCGGGAGACCCTTATCGATGAACGAGGCGTTGTACCAGAACAAGGAGGCGATCCTGAACGACAAGAATCGGAACCGGAAGAGACACAGTACCACTTTGGAGCTGAACGCCACCGCGAAGGTGGAGACAGATGCCGATGGAGTGCCCACGATCAGCTTCAGCTTCCTGCGGACCGACGAGAAGGACTTTCACGAGGATGGGGACGAAATCGTGATCCTGGAGGTCGACACGAGCGATCAGACGAAAGATTCAGCGAGTGAGAATCAGCTGTACGACCTACCCAAGAGCGCCCCGAGTCGAGTCTCCTTGGAACGATCGGACGATAAGGAAACGAGCGTCGAGTTCTCGTCGTCGGTGACTCGCCAGGTTCTCTACGACATGCCCGCGGCCAAGGACGCGTCCTTGAACGGAGAGAGGGAGACGATGACGCCATCGAACGTTTCTCTCAACGAGAGGAGCAAACAGCAACGGGACCAGACCAAACGTTCCACCAGGTCGCTCAAGTCCGGTCGCAGAAGCTACGGCGCGTCCGATAGCGACGGCTACGACGCCGGAATAGCGTCCATGTCGGGATCCTATTCGGATCCCGAATGTCCGAATGAGGAGGGCTCGGTGAGCGGTGGTTCCGCTCGCAGCAGGCGGATGAAGCTGCAGAAGCGAAGACTGGGCAAAGCCTGGGGCAGGATGCGCAGCTGGCTGCGAGAGGAGAAAATCAGGATCGGCGAGGTTGTCAACAGGCACGCGCGGTTGCAGGCTGTCGGTGCTCTGAATCCCGAGGTAGCGTCGCAAAAAAAAAAAATTGCTCAATTAACAACACTTTCAATAGGGTTGTTAATTTAATAAAAATTAAAATAGGTACCCGGTTTATTAGATTTTATTATAAAAATATAATAAAAATTCCGTACAATCAGATGTGAAAAGAGCAATTTTGTATTTTTTGTAGCTATTATAAAAGAATTTTTGTCATACATTGAAAACACCCGGGTATCTACACAGGATGAAAAATTATGAATTGGCAGAAGGGTTAATAAAGATTAGTTAAAATAGACAGACATATGAAATAATTTGGATAGAAAATTTGAAATTTATTTGATTTCTATTCTTGAAGACAATATTATACAACTTTTGTAACATAAAATTCCTCCTCTCGACTTTCTACTTTTGTATTCTTGTGCTTTTGTATTCCGGTGTTTTTGTATTCTTGATGTCTTTGACCTCCATATTTAGCACTTTCTCTCTTTTTCTATTACTTTACATTAGGCCGTGCATGTATAGAATATAAATAAAAATTGTACATTAAAAGGATATTTTTTATGCCGTGTATGTTTCATCGGAATAGAAAAACTGGCCCAGAATACGAAAGTAGACAAAAATTTATAATCGACATCATTTATGGAAATTAGTTAAATCCTTTTTAAAAATTCATTTAATTTCCTTAAGTCGGTCAATTTTAACTAATGTTTATGACGATATTTGACATGTATATTACATATGTATATGAGCGGGATGAGTTTATAATTTGAGGAGAAGTTAAGTATACACGACCTCGACGTATGAAGTGGACCCTCGCAAATTACGGATTTATTCCGCTTTCACTCTGATTCGTTGCTTCGTTGCTCGAGGATTTTACAATTGGCCGTAATAGATGGTCAACGTAACGAATGTTGAGCTAAGCAACATAATATGGGTTTCGAATATCACGATTTCCTCGATTCACGATTCCTCGATTCACGGAAAGCGAGGAAAAATTACAGTTCGATAGTTGCAAAGAAATCAAGAGAAACTCATTTCTTGTAGTTTGCTCAACGTAATTTTAGTCACAAATATTCTGTCGCAATTTTGAGAAATTTCTAAGATTAAAGTTGTAATAATAGGAAGGTTTTTGAAGTTTATTAGCTGTATAAGTCTTGAAAAAAAATTATTAGTCTCTCTAGTCAAAATTAATAAATTAAAACTCTTTCAATCATAAAAAAATTTATATTGCGGAGAAATTCATGTTTTTAATTGTATAATTATTTTAATTAATATTTATAATAATATATTCAATATAATTGTAATTAATTATATTATTTAATTAGTATTTAATTATTTCTTAATTTATATAATTAAGCAGATTTTGTGATTAAATACTGAATCTTGTAAAAGAAGGATAAATTAATTTTTTCATTACTGATTCACATAAAGAATTTATATAAAATAGTTTTTCTGATAACTTTAGTCTGAAATTTTTCAAGATTTCCAGAAACGATTACTTTCTTTTTCCTTGGGTTTGGGGAAAAATATTATAATTTTTCCACCTTTCATCGAGAAAAATGTATATTCTCGCGAAGGTGCGAGATGACACTACGCGGACATCCAAGAGCAAACAACGCGGTTTCTACGATCTGACACGGGCGCGCACCCAGGAGTCCGGGTCGATCACCAGGGTGGAAGAATTCGGATTGTCGTCGGTGTCGGAGGAGGCGAACGTCTCCGACGAGGAGAGACCGACGTCGTTCGACCGCGGGAATTTGAAGAGGAAGACGGCGAGCTCGGACGACATCTTGGAGAACAGCAGGACGAGGTTGCAGCTTCCGGTGTCCTTCAGCGTGGACAAGCTCTGCTCGAACGATCTGGAGAACGACCCGGGGACGAGAACGTCGTCGTCGACCACGCCGACGACGCCGACGACGACGATGACGACGACGGCGCCGACGGAGATCAGCTGCGAGACGTCGAGGGACGCTGGGAAAGGTGGCCTGATTAAGAGGAGAATGCTCGGGTCAATCAGAGGGTTAATGGCCTCCACTCATCTGCTGCAAACCTACGAGATCGAGGAGGTACCTATTCTTTGCGCTCTCGGAGCCTCCTTATAGTGTGTTTGCTGTTATCTAAATGAAATTATATGGGTGATTATCTAGATGAAATTTTGGCGCCATCTTATTTTTATATGGAAATATAAAAATATGTTTATATCAAAATTTTTTATATAAACAAAATTTAATTAAATTTCTTTCTATAAAAATATCTTTTAAAAATATTTTTAAAAATAATTTAAAGATATTTTTTAAAAAATATCTTTTAAAAATATCGTTTTATCTATAACATCTTAGATGAAAAAAAGTGTTCTTTATTTATTAAATTATCTATAATAATAATGCTTAGATAATTTGGTTTAGAGTCATAGCACATAAAGATACTTAAATAATAAAGCTTAAGCAATATAAGCGATAAAAATTATAAATAAAAATATGAATATATTTTTATATACCTTTTATAATTTATATTTTTTTAATATAATTGTGTTTATATACGCAGTTTTAAAAATAATATCTATTATCTGGAAATTATCTAGATGAGTCGCTATATATATAATTTTATCTTGTATCTATTCAAAACAAAATCATCTCCATCTGAGATAAATTTACATATTTTATTCCATCTTTATCTAGCTAATTTTAAAATTATCCAAGCACAACACTGCTCGTTACTTTTCTTTCCTACCTTATTTCGTTGCTCGATGACAGACGTGACGTGTGTTTGCGCAGTTGTGCGCACATTCATTCGCATTGCGATCGAACGTGATGCGCATTCTTTTCAAGTTAGAAAGAGAGAGAGAAAGAAAATAAGTGAGAACAAAGATACACTGAACAAAATTGTTAACTTCACTAAATCTTTAACTAAATTACTATTTTGTTAATTGAACATATATTAGTATTTAAATCAAATATTCATTTTGTTATATTTTATTTCAACATTTTTATGTGTTCAATTCATAAAATATAATATTTAGTTGAAAGATTTAGTCGAGTTAATAATTTTTTTTTTCAGTGTAGATTCGAAGTTCGAGTGGAATTATAAAGCAAAGTTTTCTCGGTTGTATTCGTCATTGTAATTTGAATAATTCAAAGTTCAATTAAAATCAATAATGATGAAAGAGGCTATGTAATTTATTTGCTAATTTTTTTAATAGTGAAATAGTACATGGAATATTATGAGAATTTGATAACAATTTTATATGTATTTACAACTAAAAAAAATTATTAACTTGACTAAATCGTTTAACTAAATAATATATTGTTAATTGAACATATAAAAATATTTAAATTAAATATAATATATTAAATTTAACAAAGCGTATATTTGACTTAAATAATAATATATGTTTAAACGACAAAATAGTAATTTACTTGAAAGGTTTAGTCAAGTTAACAATTTTTTTCAGTGTATTTATACTTATCTAAAAAATCTTTTATATTTTAATTATATATATTTTATTAATATATATTATTAAATATATATATATATTTTTTAATGTTGAACAATTTGTCGAACTATGTTCTATGAATTGCTCTTTGAATATCTTTCGCTACATCATTAATTAAATATTCTATTTCGCGATTGTCCTTGTCAAGTAGACCACATATGTGTGTAGGAGCTGTTAGAAGTCGCGTTCGTAATGAATGAGGCCGAGTTTACGATTCATTGAATGAGCTTTACAGTTCATGTAGGTTAATATCGACATCATTAAAAACCGTGTCGTAAGATGAAGGGACTTTGCTCGAAGGATTTTAATGAAAGCCGGTAACAATTTTCGCGATATAGCTAATTCTAAACTGTAGAGGAAAGGTGAATATAAAAGAAAAAATGTATAAGAGAGATGTATTTAAAATTTGTTATTTATTTATTATATATATTATATACATATCTATTTTATATATGTATATAATTATATACGCGTTTTTTTTGCTTGAACAATTTTAAATTTTGTATGTCTCTATGATTTACGTGCATCAAATGCACTTACAAACAACGAATCTGACACTCGAATGAAATATCATGCTCAAGAATTCGTGACTCATTCATCAATATTGAATGACATTTTACGGCCTCCGCATATCTATTACGCATATCTATTACTGATTCTTCTTAATAAACTCATTTCATTCTTAACTTCTGAACAAGAAAGATACGCAAAACTATCTTGATAAATTATCGAGTGAAAATTAAGTGTTGAATAGTTTCTGAAAAAATGCGCTGTCAGATATAATTAAAATAGTTTATTTTATTATTCGCAAATTAAAAAAAAAATACATCTTCGTAAATCGTAATTTTATAAATTTTTTGTTTTCATTAAAAGCGTTTATTATTCGTCCGGAATATTTTTTAGAGCTATTTAATCGAAAAAGATTTTTCACTATGGATTTTTATCGCCATTCTGCAATACTCTCGTCGACTGGTTGTCTACACAAAATTATTGCGTTTCCACAGATATTTTATAGCAGACACAAACCAGGTAGCCATTTCGACGAGACTTTACGAGATGCGCGCGCGATAAATAAGCGACACTCGTGTAGTTAGAAACTAAATTCCCGTGTGCTTTTTTTCGCTCGATGACATTTTTCGCGCCGGAATATCGCTTTCACTATTACAGCATTTTCTGACGCGTTTAGAATGCTTTTTGTCGATTTATTAAAGGTCACACGTTATGTCATTCGAATGTGAATCTGTCATAAAATTTTCAGCTTTTTCCCTTTTTGAAGACATCCATCATTGCTGATTATTCTTGATGATGAATTAAAACTTCGACGAATATTAACATATAGATTTCGCACTTTCGGTTTCTTCAAAATTGTTCCGATAAAAGTTTGCAAAAATATCGATCTCCGCTGATTATTTTTAATAAACTAAAATTTCTTTGACGAGTATTAATATGTAGATCTCGCACTTTCAATTTATTTAAAATTGTTCCGATAAAAATTCGCAAAGAAGGAAGACTTCGGACGAATTTAGTGAGAAATGAATTTGAAATTATTATCGATAGAGATGTCGATATTATTTTCGATAGAGAACGTCCGCATTTTCTTTAGAGAGCTACACGCAGTTCTGAAAGGAAGAAAAAATATATAAAATCTGACAGATAGGAATCTTGAAAGAGATGCGCGGAGAGAGTGGTTCGAAAATTTCGCGATCTTTAATTAATAAGTTACAAATGTATAATTAATACACGGGGGCCCGGGACGACAGCGAAGATATATCGCTTTCCCGGTTCGCATCCGCTTTCCCCGAGTCGAAATTTTACAAGAGAGACCGCGCTCGAGTGTCCGATCGAGAGATTTATCGACTGTCCGGGAGAAATGGCGCCAAGCCAGACATATCTATGTACATACACACACGAGTCATGCTTCAAAGCATCGGCAAGAGCAAAGCATGGAAAGTGTGGGAAAGTTGCCCGGAGAAAATAGTCGACTTTGTTTCGCGCATACAGACACACTTATCATAGAGACACATATGTAGATATACGTGACAGTTGACCGCTTTCGATGTGTCTCTTTCTGTACTCTGAAAAAATTCATTTAATTCTTATAAGTACCCATGCAGCACAACATATTTTGAAAAGATTTTAAAAATATTTCTTAAAAGATAAAATAATTCTCGAAAATATTTTTGAATATAAATTTAAATTAATATTTCAAAAATATATGTACCAAATATTTAAGAAAATATTATCTAAGCGGTAAAGAACATTTTTAAAATATTTTTCAATGTTTTTTAAAATATTCTAAAAAATGTTATTACAAACAATTTTGAAATTATTTAAAAATATTCGCAAAACTATTTTAAAATGTTTTATGCAATATTTTATAGAAATATTTAGAAATATTTTTTGAAAACATTTATAATATTTTGTGCTATATGGGTATTTATTTCAATACTGCGAAATGAATCATTTATTTAAAACTAATAATATTTATTTGATATGGAAAATATTTATTTGATATAAGAAATCCTTTTCAAAACAAATAAATATTTATTTGTTTCAAATAAATTATTTATTCGGCAGTATTGAACTAAATGTGTATTAATTTAGTAATTTTTTTCAGTGTACTTTTATCATTTTTTAGTATTTGCTGTTATCTAAGTAAAATTATATAGATGAGCATCTAGATGAAATTTTGGCGTCATCTGATCTTTACGTAGATAATGAAAATATGTATTAGTTACATATCTGCATCTTAGATAAAAATGTGTTATCTTCACGAAATTATCTAGAATAATGTTCAGATAATTTGGTTTAGAATCATAGCACATCAAAATACTGAAGTATTTTTATTAAATAGTATGTAGAACTTAAGCAGTATGCGATATTATAAAAATTTACCAATAAAAATATGAATATATTTTATATATTCCTATATTATAATAAAATCATTATAATATATGAATATATATTTTTTTATAACTATGTTTACATAAAAAAGTAAGCGATCTTCAAAATAATAATATCTAGAAATTATATATCCAGATGAGAATCGCCATTAAATTTTATCTTTTATCTATTAGATATATTTAAAAGAAAATCATCTTTAGCTGACTAATTTAAAAATCATCTAAGCACAACACTATGGTACAAGTGCAAGCGTGCTTAGAAAGACCCCGTGGCCCTGGAGAACGGAAAAGATTGCGCGCTGCACCTTGACTGCAGTTGCATTCGACCGCGGATGCATCGATATAGCGTGGGGGTCACATCGCGAGTTTCTCCGTCGTTCATTTTATACGTGACGTATAAATTCGTCAAGGACGTGAAACATCGTAAATGGAATCGTGTACATCGCTTTTGTCGAAGAGTATAGAACAGACAGATGAGAGTGACACGGTTATTATGTTTTTTATATTTAATGATGCTTTTATAATCGGACAATTTCAAGTGGTAGAAAATTTGTACCACATTTGACAAATCAAAATAATATAATAATTCTGTCTTGAATTTTATTTTCTTAAATCAAATTATTTTTTATTTTATTTAATTTTTTTAGAAATATGAGTATAAAAGGTTTATATAATGCATATCCATTTTTATTTATTAAATTTCTTATACTGGAGTAAAACACATTTTTTTAGGAAAATATTTTCAAAAA